GGGGAAAAAACAAACAGGAAGAAAGAAAAGGCACAAGCAGTAAATTGGTTTATATCAAAAGTTGCCTCTTCCTTTGAATTCAAAGCTTATAGAGAATACTTTGATCACACACACACACACACACACACACACACACACACACACACACACAGAAGGCAGGTTCTGTCTTTCAGTCTGTACCAGGCTGAGACGTACCCACAACACTGTCTGAGAGAAATGCACATCTCCCCTGGGCAAGCAGCATACAGTAGGGTTGTAACAAGAAACCAAGAGACATCAAACTGGCAGGCAAAAGCCATGCACTCTTGCATGCATTTGCTTTGAGGTTTGTTTAGCTGAAAAGCCAGATTCGGCTCCATTCTGTGCACTCTCACCCCGCTTTGGACTCGGCCACGGTCATTTCCATGCCGCCTGCCTGCATGGACCACTGTAAGAAGTGACCTTTGTGGGGTTTTCCTGTTCTGGCATAACTGCTGCTTCTGCCCTGCCCCATGCGGGCCTGCTCCCTCAGATTCAGTGAAGAGGGTAGTATGGCTGGTATGTCGCCAGCCCACAGTCAGCAGGCCAACACAGCTGGTCCCACAGGTTTGTGTGGTTCACCTGGGCTGTCTCCACCTGTTTACCTGGCTATGCAATTGGCCTGACTCTGGCTATGAAAGCAGGGCTTGGTTGCCACCTCTCTGGTATTCAGGTAACCTGGTGACCTGCCTACAGGTGGCCTCGGGTACAATGAAAGGGAAATGCGCAGGTACCCTACGCCGATGCCCCCGACTACACCCTCACTCCCCAGCTCCAGTCCAACCCAAGGTTTTCCCACACAGGCTGTCCTGGGCGACTTGCAAGAGGAAACAAATTCACAGTGGCAACCAGATTTGTTAACATGTGGCACGGCTCTAGCCGGCAGTCACCTGTGATAGCTTTTCAAAAAGCCAAGCAAACGCGCACAATGAGCAGTCCTACAAAAGACAGCTCAGCCCTCTCTGTGAACGTGGACAAGCAGCAGCTGGACATGCTAGGACGCTGGGTGGCACCATCAGACCAGTATGCTGAGTCACCATATGGGATCCGGTGGCTTCCATGCCACAGGAACCAGGGCCACAAAGAGACGAACATGTGCGTTTCCGTCGTCTAGACTGGTGGTGCCAGGCACTGCTGCATGCAGCAGACATGTGGAAATCCCTCCCCGGAGGCTCCCTGTCCAGGGTATCATTTGTCCAAACAGGATGCCTGCATTTAAGTTCTGACAATTCCGGAGCTGTGGGAATGAAACTGGAGCTGGCCAGTCGGAGACTTGCTGTGTTATGTTCTCAGAGTCTGGAAGGCCAGTCTGGTGACGCCTGTAGCCTTTGGGCTAGACGCTAAAACAAACGCCAGCCACCCAGGGTAAAAAGAGAAGTAGGATTATAACCAGCTCCATCTTTCCCTGGAGCAATTAGGGATAATACGGGATTTCACTGAGTGTAAGCCATGGCCCCCCCACCCTTCCCATTTTAACATTTCTGAAGTGGAGAGAATAGCTTTATAGGAACTGCTGGTACCTAAGCATTGACTCCACACTTACAATATCGAGGCATGTTGCTACTCAGAAAGGAGCCTGGCGGCTCAGTGGATGGCCAGTTGGGCTGCTAACAGTAAGGTTAGTAGTTTGAATCCACCAGCCACTCCATGGGAGAAAACTGAGGACTTGTCCTAGATGTAACTGTTCAGGCCTGATTCCAGCCGAGGCAGCCTGCCTAAAGCACCTTTACTCTTGATGGCTATCACCTAGCCGAGCTGCTCGTCTGCTCTCTGACTTACTCCTGGGAAGGAAGCAATGGACAGGAGGTCACCGGGATAGCTATCAATAAGCTGTAAGTCTAACTGGCAAACATTATGTGATGTATTTACAACCACCACCAGAAAAAGAAAAAACCCAGCAGCCAAGGCTGTTCATGTACAGCCAAATGCTTCACAGGTTGGATGTCCTTGCTTTGGGAGTTCAGGATCACGGTTTCATGGGACATCCCAGTTAATGGGCCTAAATAGTGTGTTGAGGACATCTGTTCTACTTCCTACTTTGTTACCTAGTGCCTGCATCCTTAAAAGCTTGAAAGCGACCATCTAAGGCACGGCCATGGGTCTCAGTTGGACAACAGCATCAGAAAGAGATTCTGGAACAGTTGCCTCCTTTGCTGTGAGACCCGGACTGGAGGGTGCCTGGCTACCAATGATTGTACATTGTGATCAAAGATTCTTCAGAACAATCCTGACCACAGGTGGAAAATTGCAGATTAGAATTTCATGTCTTCATGACCTTCCAACTTTCTAGAGCCAAGGACGCTGAAACTATTATCCTGTGATAGTTTTTAAACCTTCAACCCGAAATATCCCCTAAAGTCTTCTTCAAAACAAACAACAGTCTAGCTTAACTAGTGAAATACTGGTGGCCGTGAGCAAAGGCCACCATATCAATTAACTCCCCATGTCAGTTCCTACTCAGCTGGCCCTGTATCGGGTTTTTGAGGCTATAAAGGTTTTCAGGAGTGGACAGCCTCATCTTTTCCCCAAGGAGTGGCTGGTAGGTTTGGACCACTGACCTTGGGGCCAACAGCGGACCTTGGGGCTAGCAGCACCTCACTGCCAGGGCTCTTTGAAGAACTATCTGCGTGGGAAAACGTGATGGCCTCATTCACTGTCATCACGTCATTTTGACTCAAAGCAACCCTACAGGGCAGAGTAGAACTGACACTGTGGGTTTCCAAGACTGTAAATCTTTATCAGAGAGGAAGCCTTCTCCTTCTCCCTTGGGGAGGCCGGTGGTTTCTACCTGCTGACCACTCACCCAGCCACCAGGGCTTCTATGATGATCACAGCAACAGAGCAGATGTGGTGGAAGACTTACAGTGACCGTGAGTGCATGTCAACGGGGAGGAATAACTCAGAATACGGGGGTGGTGGGGTGGTGTTATACCGCTAGAGGGTTGTGAACAATGTGATTTAACTGTACACGTAGAAACTGTGGCGTTGGTATCTGCTTTGTAGTGTATATTTTCAGGAACAGTAGCAAAACCCCATCGCTGTTGAGTCTGCTACCACTCACAGCACCTCCACAGGACAGGGTGGAGCCCCCCACAGGGTCCACACGGCCTTGCTCGTTATGGAGAGAGACTGCCCCATGTCCCCCCACGGAGTGGCCTTTGCTGAGCCATCAGTGCTTCCCCACTGTGCCCCGTCGCTCCATACATGATGCTGTCACTGAAGAGAAGCTTTGGTCCCAAATTTCTAAATCCATGGATTTTACCAAAGAGTATGGTGTACATTCTTTTATGGCAACATCACATTCATTTGTGGCAGTGAAAAAAATTAGAAGCAGCTGAAACGCCCAACAAAGGAGAAACTGGTTAATTACATTATGGTGCATTCCATATGATGACTGATACACACTCAAAAAGTGTACTGCAAAGAATATCTAACCTTGTGGGGAAATGTTTATGACACACCCAATTGAAAATATAAATATACATGAAGCGAGCATGATCCCAATCAATTACACTTACAAACAAAACTCACACACACAAAAAGAGACAGGAGAAACGTATACATTTAAAAGCAATGGTAACAGTACGTAGGTACTCCTTCCCGGGTGACAGAACTCTTTGCGAATAGCTTACATTCATAGGTTTGTTTTCTACCAGTTCTGAAAAGAAAGGAACCGCTCCATCATTAAGCCCAGGCAAGTGGTACTGACCTACAGAGCCGTCTTCTGAGTTTGACTTATGCAGGGGGTGCCTACAAAAGAAAAGAACAAGTCACATTACTAGGGTGCACTGCCTTCCCGGGAGAACACAAATCACCCCCGACCTGGGTGGCCCGGCCTCAAGGCGAGGTACAGAGTCAGGGGCCTCCGGCACCGGGCATTGGCCATGGGCCTTTCTTGTGAGTCATCTGCTGCCTTCCCAGAGACAAGACTCGTGTGCCTTTTGTCAACAGTTATCAGAGACCCACTCCGTGGAGGCCCCTATTGTTAAATGAGGAGAACGGCTTCCCTGGATGAGCGCTAAAGTACCTTCCATTTCTGGGAACGATTAGCTACCAGCTAAGCTGCGGCCATTGAGAAGGCTCTTGTGTTGAGTGGGAAAGAGAAGGCAAATACTAATGAAAACATAGATCTAGCACCAACACCAAGGCTGCGGAAGTCGGCAGGTGAGTGAAGAGGCTGGCTGTGAAAAAAAAAGAATGCAATAAGGGGAGAGGAGAGACTCGTGCAAAGAGGCTATGCCACGCCCCAAGGAGAAGGGCAGCTGTGAACTGGAAATGGGAGGAGCACGGGTGCTGTTTGGCGCCCCTGGTCCACAGAGGAGTCAGGAACCTGCAGGCTGCATTTTGACACTATGGCAAATAACCCAGTGTTTTTAAAATGGGTCCAAGCTCATTTATACGGCCCAGTGGATGCGCTTCCTTCCCCCCCCCCTCGCTGCCCACCCCCCTTGGCTGCTAGTCGGTGAACCTTGATACAGATGAAACCAAACGACTGGAAATGAGCGCACTGCCCCACCAACTAATTCATCATTTCTCCAGAAGAGACACAGCTCACCACCCACTTTGGACACATAGACTGGGAAGCCAGGGGAGGAAAGACCACTGGCCGTCTCAGAAAGGACACAGGCCAGCTTGGAGCAACATCGTTCTTTCTCTCGGGAGGGCCAGAGCCCAGATTGGGGTTCTTGGGCGTGCTGGCAAGGACAATGAAAAAGGAGAGCACCCCTGAAGGAGAGCCAGGGGCCTTCAGAAGAAGACGGTGGATCTGAATGTGCACTGCAAGTGCTTCCACCGAGGCGGAGGAGGAAGAAAGAGGTGGCCGGGCAAACATTCTACAGCCAAGGGGTTGGAATGTTGTGAAGGCGGAAGAGGAGGAAGCTGGTGAGGGTTTGGTGCATCCCCACGGGGATGGCGGTGAGCAGGGAGCTGGGGATGCAGGACGCACCTTGGACAGCCACCTGAGGCTGTCTGACGGAAGGGCCGTTTGCGATAGAAAACTCTGCAGGCATGTCGGACTCCAAGGACAAGGAAGGAGTGGACCAGAACAACCGTGTCCACACCTCTATTATAAACGAAAGCCAGAGTAAAAGTTAACACAGGGGAGAAGTCCTTGCAGAGAACAAGAAAGGCTTGCAGTCTGGTTATCCCCTTTGGTGCCACACTGAGAAATAACGAGGAAAATGTGCTCTATCTTTCGTTGTGAAAAGTTTCCTATTCTACGAGCTACCCTTCGACCTCCTATCCACACCTGAACGAACACGGCTAAACATATACGAGGGGTTTAAAAAGCCGGTGGCAGATGGAACTACAAAGATCATAGGATTTTCCCATGAGCGTTCTGAAGCCTCCTTGGACTTCCTTGAAGGGCCCCGAGGAAGTGTGGTGTGTTGTTGTCAGGTGCCCTGGCGTCACTTCTGACTACCTAGCAGCCCCGTGTCTGTTTTGAACGATCAGAGCCGTCCACACAGTCGTCTCTCGGTGGACCCGGGGCCATGTGTCAACCCCTCTCACAGAGGGTCTTCCTCCTTTTGCTGACCCGCTACCAAGCAAGCACTAGCTCCTCCTGATAACAGGAGGTCCAGTCTTTGGGGAACAAATGTATTGAGTTCT